TATAATATAATATATATATATATGTGTGTGTGTGTACATATGAGCACCGGGAGTCTGGGGTCCAGGCAAAACTTGCATTCGGGAAGCCCGGGAGTTTCCCGGGGCGCTTTGGGAAGCCCCGAAGCTTCAAAATCAGCTTGGGCTTAGGGGTTTAGGGATTAGGGTTTAGGGTTTAGGGCTTAGGGTTTAGCATAGCCAACCCTGAACCCCCTCAAAAAAAACCCAAAAACACCCTCAAACATCTTCTGGGCTTAGGGTTTAGGGTTGAGGGTCTCTAAAATTTGGGGGGCCCCCTTTTTTAAGTCCCCAAAATAGTACGGCACCCGTGTGTAAAAAGGATCCTATAGAGTTACCCCTATAAATCTTAAGGCACAAACCCTAAACTGCTAAGACCTAAGCCCTAATGTAGGGGCCTTAATAATTAGACTGGGGTTTCGGGGGTTCCTTATTATACTTATAGCATAATATACCCCAAACCCCATTCGAACTACTAAGGCCCCATTCGAATTACTAAGGTTCCTTTTTTTTTCGACGACCCATGAAAGTGCCGATTGAATCTGAGCTGCGCCCGGCAAAGCCCAAGCACTCCACAGCACGGCGACTTCCAGAACCCACATGGGCGTGGTGGCTCACTTCCCTGCCATGCTGAAGCTATCTTCATAGCTCGTCGCTTGAGCCGGGGATTTCGAGGGTTTCGGGTTTCAGATTTGGTGGTTTAGGGCAATGTATGGGATTCTGGGCTGTAAACGCTTTTCTGCGCTCATGCTCAAACACACTCCATGCGAGACATGTTCGAAGCGTTTTTTGTTGATGCTGGTATATATGAGCTCTGCACCATATGTAGGGCTTCCTAACAGGTAGCATCACTGAAAGCATGTGAGCTCGGTTTTTTGGGTTTGCGGTGAGTGCTTTGACATTTTTAGGGTTGCGGATTCTCAAGGACAATGTGTCAATTTGACTTTTCGTGACGCCTTTCATAGGCATTAATACTCCGATTTTTCTGTTCGGGTTTTCATTGTTCAAGGCTGTGCCAGCAAGATCTTGCAGCACGGAGGCCTAACTGAATAAACGAATAGGTTTTCTGGGAAAGTATATACAAGGACTGTTAGGGGACGTTGTCATTATATCCCTATATCAGGTACTTCTGCCATTACTGGTTTGCGATAATGGCCACCTGGCTGTTCGCCAATCAGAGGCACTACTCTCATTCAATGAATGGTCTACTCGGAAATCGTCCAGAAACCGCATCTGTCACTGCAGTGCATTGCGGCATGCGTTATGCTGCAAAAATATGAATCAGTTGTGGAACGCAGAAGGCAAAGTAGTGTGGAGCAATGACGGGGTATTTCGATGAACCTTCTACATACTCATCCCTAAACCGTAAAGCTTCATATGTCCTTGAGAAGAAGTAATTTGTCATGTCTTGAGAAAGCTTCGACCTTCGGGATTGAGTACCGGCTGAGGTTTAGCGTCTACGAGGATTTAGAGGACTTAGAGTCTATAGGGTTTGGGGCCTAGGGTGTAGGGCTGAGTAAGTTAGAACTACGGTGCTACGAGCTTCGCCAAGCGGATGCAAGACATGTTTGACAACGCAGAGCTTGCGATCATCAGTCCCTGCCACCTCAAGGAGGCAATTTACAGCTACATGCACGATACGTCATCCGCTCGTTTCAGGCGGAGTGCTTAGGTTTAACCAAGAAAGGCTTCGCACCTCGTTCGAGGACGCGGCATTTAAGTGTGGGCGGCCCTCCTAATTAATTAAGTTCGGGCCAAGCACCTGCAAGATATCTGCGGCATCTGGCACAGCCCGTGGCTCCCGCCAAAGAGAGTACGGCTTGCAACGACAGCAAGAAGAAAGGACATCGAGAACCCAGCAAGAAATGCAACATGCATTGTAAGCACGAACGCTTCCAGTGATGCACAGAGCACGGACGACACGAGCAGAAGAGAGCTGTAGATAGCAAGCCCTGCGCCCAAAGCCAACATGCCTCGTAGCACTCCGATGCCAGTTATGGTTGCAAAGACACTCATCGCACGCAGAAGCAGCGGATGTGCCAAGGGTAGAATGAGAAGGGTCATGCACAGAGTCTGAACGTAGTTCACGGCGACAAAGAGCTCAACCGAAGGAAACCCTGCGTTGCGGAAGGTGGGCGCCAAATTGAACGTCAAGGCCACGAAGCACAAGGTTGCAGGAAGAAAACTCAAGGAACACACAAGCCACGGTGCTTGCACTTCGTCTCCCAGGTCTTCCATGACTGCATTTAGAAGGGGCCCGCGCACGAACGAATTAAATGCCCCGATGCACTCGCCATCATCAGCATAACCTGTGACTGCGCGTATCGCACGCCTCTCCTCCACTGAAAGCCAAGGCAAGCTGGTCTCCTCGCCGTCCGAGAAGGTGGCAGAACATTCAAGTGGAGATACCTGAGTTGCAATTTTAAGAGCCCTTTAACTTAATAGGTATTTTTATGGATTCAGATTGTAGAACAAAGCTCCCGGATTGCCAGCTAGGTACAATTATCGGCTCTTCCAGGCCATCGAAAAGCTCACAGACTTGTGCCTCAATTTGAAGTCGATCCTCTTCAATGGCACACTCCGCTGCTCTTAGGTCGAAGTTTCGGAGGCTCTCAAGCATCAACCGGTGGCCATCAAGCTTTGCATGGAAGGATGCGATGCTGAATATCAATGAAGGAATGAAGAAGGCGAGGAAACCCTGGCCATCTACGATGTACTTCAGCAGTCGTTTCGTCCCGAAAGCGAGGGTAGTACCATGCCCCAGCTGTTGGCTACCGCTCTGATCTTCTAGAGCCTGGGTGTCAGCGGACGCCGCAGCGATGGCGGCGAGACGCCCTCCAGCATAGCAGCATGTCATCGTGGTCAGAAGCCATGGTGGGAGCCACAGTGGGACGAACTGGAGCTTCTTCACGTCGTGGCATTTCAGGAATACAGATAGCTCGAAGTTGCACCATAACCTGTTACTCTTAGGATCTTGCAACACAACCGGGCTGCAAGCAACGATTAACTCAGGGCGAGAAATGATCTGTCAACGCTTCTGCAGAGAAACCAAGGGAATGCGGAGCATCGGGACGGTATCGTACGAGTAAGTAGCCAGAAATTGAACGAACCACTCTGGCACTAAATCAAAGCAAGATAGCCGCGACACCAACGCTAGCAGCAAGAACAGCAGCGAAAAGACACCAGCTTCAGAAGCTGCAGAACGCCCAACCGAGGAATGGGGCAGTGGGGTGTGGCATGGCCTATCAACCTAACAAGTCACAATGTAAGGGGCTTTAATAATTAGGTGTGTGTATGTATATGTGTATATACATACATACATACATACATACATACATACATACATACTTATTATGGCACTGGTATATTTATCATAAGGAACCCTAGGGAAAAAAAAACTATTATTGGTAATTCTTCAGGCATGTAAATTACATGGGTTTAGTGGTTTAGCGATTGGGGCTGCGTGTTTAGACCACAAGCTAAAGGCCTCTGAAAGTAAGTCTCATCCCAGAGCACCAGCATCTGAGAAGAGCGTGCCACAAATGCAGCAAGGCCTGCGATCGCCTTCTTCTTGTCCGACTGGATGTTTTGATTGACGCAGATTTTGTCTAGCCAAAGGCTGGGGCCCCAAATTCCACAAGTGATTTGCTGTCCGAACAAGAGCACAAGGAAGAACAAAAGCACCGGCATATCCATTGCGATCAGAAAGAGCATGGTAACCTCGCTGCGAATTACGGAGTGAATAGACTTCAAGCTACCATCATGAGGACCCTTCCCACACCCCTAAAATGCCAAGAAGCGGATTGTGGAGGGAGCAGTGCGAGCAAGCATTGACCCAGAATACTTGCGGCGAGCGTGGTTTTCATAGCCAGGTTCAAGTTCAAGGCGAAGCACATGGCCAAGAACTTTGAAAAGCGGCCTGCGGCCCAGGAGTGACTGACGAAGATATCGATGGCCTCCACATGCATGGTTTCTTGAAAGAGATCCTCCTGCAGTGGGGTTGCAGAGAATATTTCCCCGAGACGAGACAGGATCACCTGGGTTCTTGCGAGGGAGCTTTCAGCATTTTACCAGAAATGGCGCAGCGTGCTATGTACTAGCTACCCCTAATGAGGCCCAAATGTCTTAGCCCAGTCGCCGTAGCTGTGGTGGCACGAAAAAGTCCCTCTCCATGGAGGCTTGCAGCTTGCACGGACCATCGTCGCTGCATGGCAGATCGGCTATGTCATGACTATGGACATCGGGCAAACAAGTAGTAACGACTTGCGAAATTGACCCAGAATGGCCTTGAAACGTTGCGCGCTTCCAGCCTCGCTGCAGCCTCGCTTCTCCCCTGAGATGCCATGCATCACCTCAGACCATATGGTCCATGGCCAAACCTGAAACCGTACACCTTCAAACCTAGTCCATGGCCAAGCCTGAAGCCCGAACTCCCCATGAAAAATAACCCCATGCCTTCGGCCCTGCTGGGCCCCAACACTGCAAACTGTGGTGTTCAATACCCTCGAGGGTCAGCGAGTAGATTACACATGTTGAGGCGGTTTTGGGTTTGGGGTTTAGGTTACGAACACCAATAAGCAAGGATATGCTAACTGTAGAGCTGCTTGAGCTTACTGGGTGCCTCGCCTAAACTTTGTACCTTTAGCCCGAGGCCCCCAACCGTATAATCCTACGTTGCTACGTGTGCGATGTGTCTCAACGATCGAAGGCATCATCCCTGGCACCTACGAGCCAGATGGGAGCCTCCGGAATTCGGGGACCCCAAAAGGGCTTAGGGTTTTGTCCTAACTATGAGGATCTTGATATGAACAAGATACAAGGAAGCAGGGGCCGAGAAGTTGAGAAGTGCCTCCTAAAAACCCCCGTCTTCGAGTTACACCAGAAGCCCTGTAGGCCCTACTAGGCCTTAACCGGTACCCTTGCATCTTCAAGCGCTTATTAAAGCTTTTTAAGCCCCATAGCTTAGGCCCTAATTGCCAACTTTTCAAGGCTTATAAAGGGCTCTTTTGAACGAAGGGTTGGCTGCAGGCCAAGACAGAGCATAGGGCGGATAGAGTTTAAAAAGCATTAGGGTTTCGGGTGTAGGATTTCCTATAATAGCTGTAGGGTTTAGGGTTTTTTTTTTTGATCGCCCCTTTTCCGTCAGCCCGAGGGAGTCAGAAAAGCCAGTCTGGCTGAGGCCTGTGGACGGGCACAGGCACAACACACAAGGCAACAACCACTAGGTAGAGCTTACCATCGAGTGCCCATCCACACGGACTACACGGTACAATTTCACCGGAGCCCAAACTTTACCCTTGACCTGCCCAAGGCTATCGTGACAGACAGACTGAGCCTCACCCCAGGATTCCCCAAGTGGTCCCCACTTCCAGATATGTAAGAATAGAGTCACCACCACAGCCCCCTTTCTTCTGTCACCATCCTAGCAGTGTTCGCCAGCAAGGCCAATGGCTATTTCCCCCGATGACTTCACCGACAAGCAACGAAGATAAAGTGCACAGCTAAGCCTGCACAAAGTTCGGGGTTTGCCAGGTTGCCTCACTGAAAATTTGGTTAGCAGTGCCACTTGCCGGGCACTGGACTTCGTATCACGACCGCTCACACAACCCCGAGAGCTCACACTTCTCTGTGCTAAGTGACAGCATCACGACAACGATGCACAACATCACCTACTTACCTCGGCATGACAGTGGGTATCTAGACTCTAACACAGAGACGGCTCTCACATAGAGGCGGTTTCCTGCACAGCATCACTGGTCACCGAAGGGCTCACAACTCGCGGGCTCGAAGTGGATCGTGCTGGCATCCGAGAGGTCGGCTGTCTCGAGAGGGACCGTGCTCACACTGTCCGGGTGCACCCCTCCCACGTCTTCCACATTCTGGCTGTCATACATCTGCGTGGCCGGGATTACGGGCGTCTCAAGGTCTGCACTATCAATCTCGGCCGCGACCTTGACAGACTCCGCTGCCTCTGCCCCAATCTGCTCCACGAGGCGCTCCCAGCCAATGGCGCCTCGTTCCCACATCTGATAAAAAGGGCGTAGTTCGGGGTCACTCATGCTGAAGGTAGTCCTTCGCCTCGGCTCTGCACGGCTTCTTTCTTCAACAGCGTAGTCCTCTGCCGCCTCCGCTAGCCTCTTGCGGGCCTGCTCCGGGGCCACGGGTTGGCCTTGGAAGTGGTAGGAGGTTTCAACCGTCCTCCGGGTATTGAGCAGAAGGCGCGAAGGGGCTCCCTCCTCCAAGGGGACCGTTACGGACTGCCGGGCCGCCCCCGCTTGAACTTCAATGTCCAAATGCCACTTCTGCAGGCTTTGGATCGTCCACCCCATATGTGAGACAATGGTTTAGGGTTTAGGGTTTAGGGGGTTGCAAGTCAAGGGCCCCTGGGCATTCGCACAAGGTCACACTCAAGTATCCGAAAGCTAACAGGCTCTTGCTGAGGAGTCTATGTTGGGAGTTGCCAGCTAGACGACTGGCTCCTGTTTAATAGGGTCCATCTTTGAGGTCCCTTTATAAATTTTCAGCTTTGCTTGTGATGGAGTTATTTCGGGAGTTCAGGACTTTTCGGATTTGTGGCTCCGTTTTTCTCCGGCTGCCTCGCCTTTCTGACTAGAGTTGGTCAAGGATTGAAGGTGCTGGGTTCGTGCCGGAAGTCCTTGCTAAAGCATACAAACGATCTACAAGGGCTGGAAAAAGTGGGCAAATCCAGCCCAGGGCCTTACCCATAGACCCCAAGTAGCTCCTTTTTGGGATTACCTTGTAGGATTCTAAAAACATAAACCCATAAAAAGGAACTACTTAGGGGGCCCAGGGCCCTAACGCTAAGACCCGGGTCTTCACCACACCACCCACCGATCAGGCTTTTTGAGATCTTGACTGGAGGCGTTACCGACAATCGCGCGGAGCTTTTGTCTTTTTTATCGTCCTGCACTGCAGAGATGCGCTAAGCAGGGCCTGCCAGCATTTTTGATGACTTTTCATAGCTCTCCGGCCCGGTCGGGGGTTCTCGCTTGGAAGCCCGGAGCCAGAAGCCTAGGTTCAGGGATGTCTACTATGGGAGTTGCAAAAAACACAAGACCCCAATGTTATGCTACAGACCCCAAATAGTAGGAGAGGGACCCTTATGATACGGAGCCCTCATTACAAAAAACCCCTCCTCATATGTTCTTACGGGCATGTCTTGCTAGCGGGATCCGTTCAAGTCCTGAGGCAAGTCAGGACGAGTCCCATTGTCAAGATGCTGAGAAACCCTGAACCAAACAGTAACCCTTATACAAACCCTTGAAGGACCGTTGTAGATACCTGTTCAAATAAACTCAAAGCCAGGGAAGACATGCATGCGATCGAGTCTTTCAACTTCTAGACCCTTCAACCAGGAAGCTCGTACCGTCCGAAAATAGTGAACTTGCTTGCGTGTTAGCTTCCTAAACCCCAAACGCTAATCCCAAAACCCTAAACCCGAAACCCTTGTAAGGCGCGTCGAAGAACCCCGGGAGGAGCCACGGATTCTAAGGCGGCAGGTTACCTTCGTCCGCAGAGAGCAATGCTCGGAGCGGCGAGCGTATCTTAGGCTTTAGGGATTGCATGGCTCCGATGTTTACAGGACCCTTTTTGCATCCGGGCCTCTGTGCAGTCTTGTTTACATGACCCAACTCAAAACCCATAATAAGGACTAGGCTTAAGCTTTGAAGCAGTTTCACAACCCGATAAACCAAGATCCTCATCAAGCCCAGACACTTCAGCACTAAAACCGTGAGGCTCAGCTTTCAGCTGCGATTCATTCTCCGCGGGCTCATCGTCCGCCCTGCGTATGGTGGAAGGACAGTTGCGCAGACACACTCTGTAATGTAGGGATCTTAATAATTAGAATAGGGCTTTGGGGCCCAATATACTATAATTATGGTAAGGAACCCCCGAAACAGTATTGGTAATTGTTTAGGCCCCTATGTTAGACCCTCTCAGACCCTGAACAATGAGACTCTCCACCTGAAGACCCTGAAAGCTCCTGGCCTGAAGACCCCCTCCCTACCACCCGATAGCCTAAGTCCCCACCATAGCTGAACCCAACAAGGCATAAGGCAACCGATATGCTCAGACCCCAGGACTTCGAGAAGGTTGCCACGCAAAGGCCAAGAACCAAGATTCAAAGTCTTCCTGGTGCTGGGTCTAGGGTTTTGCACGAGAGCAGGAGCAAGAGCGGGAGCAACGGCAGAAGCAGGAGCAAAAGCAAGAGCAGGAACAAAGCTCGTGCGATCAAAACAAGGACCGTGACGTCTTGAGGTGAAGTCAAAAGTCCGGGATCAAAGGGTGGCTGTGGAACACGTCGCTTCGGGGATTGTGGGTGCAGTGGTCCAACATTCAGGTTTAGGGTTCAGGGCGCTCAACTGAGCTTTTTTGGTTGCTCCGCTTTTATGGGAGGCTTTTTTCAACACAACATGTTGTGCTCTTGGAAAAGGCATTGCTGAAACTTTCCTTGGGGTATGCCGCTGGCCCGATATCGCTTTGCGGAGTGATGGCACAAAACCCCAGAGGTTCAGGTTGGGCGTGAGACACCCAAGCACTACACTTTACAGGTGCAACGGCCTAAGGACTTCCGCACCTTTTCGTTGATGATGCGCCGTACAGCCGACACCACATACCTGCAAGAGCAAGGTTGGTGTCTGATTGGTGCAGCTCTTGTCGATGGCACGAGCCATGTGAGTATGGTTGGTGGTAGGGACAAGGTGTTGTAGTCGCAGCCACTGATGCGATTGTAGGCTCATGCTTCCAGTCAAGATCCAAAGCCATCCAGCAGCTGTGGCATGCAAGTGTAAAGCAAACTTACACCCAAGGCATCCTTGAGGCAACACCACACCCTCATGAACTGAACGTAGCTGAACCGAAGGCTGAAAACTCTCGCAAAGCATTCCCTGCTTCATTCGTTTTTCTCTGGTGCCCTGGATAGTCCTGACACAGGCCCTGTAAAGTCAAACAGGAATGTACCTGCCGGAAGTATTCTTGAGGTTAATTAAAGCCTTAAAGCATACGGTTTTGGGTTTCGGGCCATGTGGTTTCGGGTCCGACTTCAAACTTTCCCCCGCAAGATTCTAAGGACCAGACGCGGTTGGGTCTCGGATGGTACTGGCGCTTTCTTCCACACCTCGTGAAACTGGACCCGCACAACAGCAAATCCGTTTCCCTCGTGTTGGTGTGTGTTGGGCCTTTTTCTCT